CAACTTAATTTGTCAACGGGCTGCAAAAACAAATGATACGTTTCGTGTTTTTCAGCCTTCAAATTCCACATTAGATGTTAACATCACAGCCTTCTGAAGCGGTTTGTGGAAAAAATAAAACAAATAAGATCATAAAATGAGATATGTTCTAGCCCTGATGGACCAGATACGCATAATAATTTGCAAAAATATATCGGAGAATCAGTTACATATTTTCTTGTATGAAACTAATTTTGTATTGTTATAAAGATGAATTGTAAACCAACTTTTAAAGGTCGGCCAACTCGAACAACTTCAATGGTTAGTGTTGGTGCTCTCCCCTGTTGGCTGTTAGCGGCGGGTTTATTAGGCTTCGGCCGAAGAGAAGGAGGTTCAATTATGGTGTCCTTGAAGGCTCCATCCTCACCCTCCAACTCCTCCTCGTCTTCGAAATCCAGAAATGTCATATTCTGTTTCATTAGTGCTGATTCAACTACGCGAAAAGGAAATATTTAGCATCTGATTTGGGCACAACTTATTTGGCCAATCAGCACCTGCAATTGCACACAAGCATTTTGATTGGTTGGGAGGATGTTGTACAGAACCTATCGATTGGGTGGAAGAATGTTACTGCACAGTTGGTTATTGTGCAGGTTGGGGGAAGCAAAATTTGTAAAAAAAGGTGAAATGACAGCTGCCAGGCTTGTCATAAATTGGTGATTGATGAGGAAAGTGATTTTGGCAAATAGGCACTCTGATCACAACTAAAATTAGCTTATTTTGCAGCCTTCAACTCGTCCATCCCGCAGCCAAACATGCATCCATCCATCCATCTCGTATGCATTCGTTCATCCATTGAGCATCCATCATTCCATCCAACTATTTGGGGTCAAGTAAACTATCCATCACTTGTCCACAATTCTAGATTTACTAGTCTTGTTACGCCGTTCCTTACCTTCCAATATCTTTTACCTACAGAAAAGCGTATTCCCAGACATATTTTTTTTTTTCGAATCGTGATATCTTTATACTTGAGTGATTCACCACTGCAATCTCTCAGCTTGTATGGACGATCTTTGTTTTACTTCCTTTTAGATGACCCATAGGTCTTCGGCGCAATTAGCGTGGGCGGTAGCATGAACGGAACCATGTGTCATCATCTTGAAGGTCTTATAGGCGGCCACTTAACACCACGTCCACTAACCATCGTATTCAACTACGCGATCATGTGACCTACGTCTTGAAGTATGCCATAGCAAGTCATCCCTCTGTACTGTAGCGCCCTGTCGTGAGGTGAGAGACAACTCTGCTTGCTTGCATTGGTGGTGAGGAGCAACAACAACTGATTGGTCGGCTGACTAGTAAACAGTGAAGAGTCCTAGGCTCCATGCTGGAGGTCGGACTTTAAGTCACCCACTGAGTGTGAATTTTACAGACGCACATAGCATCATATTGACAACACATGATTGCACAGTCTGTTAGAGCAATAAATGTGACCTTTAAAAGGTGATAAAGAGGTCACACATTGCACAATGTTACTTCTGCATTAAACTTTCGCACCGTTTTAACCTCTCAGGGATCACCAAACCTGTATTTGCTTAACACGGTTACTTAATCACTTAACCTCTCCATCTCATACTAATTTCACTCACCATCATGATGGCATTTGACAGTAATATTCCCGTCTTCCCTGAGCTCGCCGAAAATCTACATTGATGTGACTGAGAAAGAGGTATAATCCACGACATACCATCAGCCTCTTTCCCCCCTTCCTTCCATCTTTTGAGAGTTCCCTCCAGCCCTCCTCCACTCTCCTCCTCCCTCTTAACCCAAACCCCTTGCTCATTCTTCAACTTGAGGACGTGAATTAATGCCGGTGAGTCATTCAGTCAATTTCATGGGTTTCGACTGGTCGAATCCTCTATGGAAACCGCATTGGGGATTAAGGAAGGATGATTCACAGACTTTGTACTGCTCAAGTCTAAGCAGTGCTCTACAACGCATTCATTGAACACATTTGATGCAACTCCATCAATTTGGGAACGCTTGCTGGAAAGTAGAATCGTCTGATCAGCGACACTTTGAAGTGTCCTCATGGAGCTAATACTAGGCATCAATCTGAGGAACTTTCAAACTTCATCCTTTCTTTGCATCACACTGCTGCCCAGTCGTCTACCTGAATGGTGTTGAGGTAGTCGTGACTTGGCATGATGCGTCTTGCGGTGAGTAGAGTAGACAACTCCGTAATAAAGGCGTTCAAGATGTCCAAGGCTCTAGTGTTACTTCAGTTGTCAATGTCACATACATGTGTCACTCGCCCCCAAAACCAAGTTTGTTTGTAGCGTGCCGTGGGAACCTAGGTTGAAATTACAATATGTTATGGCAAGGTGTAAAATTTGTCATTCATGCATAGAAGTACCGACAAGAGTCTGCAGACACGGCCATATTATCAAGACAGAAGTACAACCCATGGAAACTGAAGTGCCTGAGCAGTCAAACGTACTGCCTATTCTCCAAAAAAGTTTTGAATTTGAAGTGGGACACATCCACCTACTTAGCCGCGTTCTTCTCCTCATCTCTCTGCCTCTGATGACCCTACTTTTTTTGGCACGTTCAGATGGCGATTTGATATGAGTGTGTGCCTTTAATATAGAATCACCTGCCAGAGTGACAAAATCTTCTCTGCATTGACCTGGAGTGAGTTGATATTTGGCATTTAAAACATGGTTACTAGCCTCGCATTGGCATGCACTATTACGATGCCGGGAAAAATTCCTAACGCCGTAGCCAATCCGACTCAAGAGAATACCAATCCTTCTTTTCATTGGCTGGTCAGAGACCCAATCACCACAGGAGGAAGAGTCCGCCGTGTATGGCTGAATTCCAGAGCTTCGAAGTGCCACACAGAGACCACGCATGGAATGTGGCTAGATTTCATCGAGTTGTAATCTCACTGCATTTTTACAACTGAAATCAATCTGTCCATATCCCCCAGTGCCAGAATATGACAGTCCCCTTTCATTTATTTCCCCCGCCATAGTAACCAACTTCTCTTAGGATTGCCACGCCGGAGTGAAGGCAACCCGAAAGTCAATTCATTAATTGTGTCAAGGTAGAATAGAATCCCGTCATGCACCGAATGGTGCTAAGTGATAGCCCCTAGGCGGGCACATCGCACTTCCTCTGACACGTCCTCAGACTGGGGATCAACTCCACTCTTGCCAGGTCATCTATGCATGAGTTCAGCAGCTTGGGGGCTACCAGTGAAAGCTTCCAACCAATCACAGCTATAATCATGAAGAAGGCAGACAATGGGTCGAAAAAGCATCAAGATTGCACCAATAGGCGGACCGACAGACAACGAAATAACCTGCTGGCAAATGGGCAGAAGGAAAACCCTCCAACACTCCTCCAGCCCCCCGTTAACGCAAGCCAGAACTCGCAACAAAGACAATCCGTGGCACGTTTGACTGGCGGGTGTTTCCCTTACAAAGCCAATTACTGTGGGATGGCTGACGCGGAAGGTTGACCAAGGGGAGCACCGGAGACGAAGCTCAAAAGAGGAGAGAGGCTATGTACTGTATTGGCTGTTTTTTTAACTGTCGCCAGGTGTCCGAGCACTATGTCGTCTTTTGTCTCATGATGCGACATCCATCCGAGTTGCCAACCTGAACAATCACAAAACAAAGGCTTAACGCGGATGTTTGTGTTACCGACCCGCATGAGTAAGCTGGGAGAAAGGTGTGTGCGCCCGCCCACGCAGGGACTGTTAGTTGCCGTGCCCTTGAGAACCGAGTTGGCCCTACTCTCGAAGGTGAGCACGTGCCTCCAAGGCCCACACCCCGGAAGGTCGGCGAATCATGAAGTCAAACCTGGAACTATGCAGACACGACCAGAGACAATCCCCACCACTTAGAGCATAAAACCGTCGTCCATTCCAGTATAATATATACTTAAAGGTGTATGCTTAGAATAGGTTGAGAATACAAGGGGGGTCAAGGGGAGGTGGGAGGAGGGGGGCGAGGTTGCGATTGGGTAATAATATAAAATGGCAACAGCCATGATAACAGCATTAGCAGCCACAATACACTAGTAGTTGAGGGGAGGAAGTAAGATAGGGGGTAAAATAAAAAGAATCTTTACCTGGTGTGTTACTAAGCATACACGCACGCACATACTACTTATAGCAGTGGCATTAGTAGCAATACACATATATGTATATATAGATAGCATCAATTGTCAAGGGATTAATAATAAGCGTAAACCTGATTCGTTGTGGGAAACAAATAACAAGGGATGGAGGAGGTGGCCCATAATTTCTAAGTATACATATATATAGGGGTTACAGAACATAGCCTGTACACTGGAGAAGGCGGGGGAGGGAGGGGTGGGGTCGGTGGAGATGAAGACAAAAGATCACAGCTAACCATGATTGTTGGGTTGGGATGAGGCCAGACAAGATTTAAAAGGGCAATAGGGAGAGAGAGCAAGGGGACGTTTAAGAGTAAATCAGAGCAACACCGCATCATCACACCATCAACATCAAGCCTAGGGGAGAAAAGAAAATTGATGCAGATAAAAATGACGCCTAGAAAAGGAGGGAGGGGATGGAGGTAAATCCCATTTTCGCCAATCTTCTTTTTTTGTCTTTCGCCTCATCGTTTCATTTGAGATGCCGCAGCTGCGGCAGCTGCAGCTGCAGCAGCTAGCATAGAGCGCTGTTGGGCTGCTGCGGCTACTGCAGCCACTGTGGACTGCCAGTCAGACGCCGATGCTGCCTCGGAGGTAAGGAAAGTCGTCCCCTCGGGTGTGCCCAAACCTGCACCGCCTCCTGTTGTTAGTCCATTGACACCGGTACCAGGTGTCGCCCTGTACATTCCGTCGTCCATTCTGAAGACTACAAGTCAACAGCAGAACAGCAAGGATTAGGAACAATGCGGATAGATAGACAACCAAGAAATCATTTCTGATTTGGAAAACCTCTAAAGCTTAAGGTCGCACATCCATTGTAAAGCCTTCACCGTCTATGATACAAACGCCACACAGGTAACAAGGGGGGGATTAGATTATCCAATTGCGACCCTCCTCTTCTGGCTTCAAAATTTGTCCGGATTGAAACGAAAAGCAAACTGTGTTCGAGAGGGAATAGCCCTAACAACAACAGCAGTCAAAGTGGCCTAGCAACGTCCCATACCCCGCAAAAGAAGGTATTAAGCCAAAACAACAAAATCCGACACATTAATAAAAAAGCAGACTGAAAACGTCACAACGGTGACGGCGGCCCATATAGGTGCAATTTTACGATTGCAGCATACAAAAAAACACAGACGACCGGTTTCCATCCCCCTGCCCGATCAATAAAGCGGGTCCGCGGGGTGACACGAATGCAAAAAAATGACCTGACGAGACAATTTCAGCCAGGAACTACCCGTGATCGCAATTGTTTGAATTTCCATCTCAGAGTCATGACCTTTCTGTTCACAGTTCGTCAGCTTTTCTGCCTATGGAAATATTCCAACATTTCATCGCGTCCCTAGTAGGCAAGTGGATGGGGCAATAACAATTATTTTGAGTTACCGAAAAGCTACCAAGGCACAGTAGCATGAGGACGATAAACAAGTCATAAAGAAGGCATAATGACATCCCTGTGCAAGATATACAAATGATAGCCTAAGTAGGAGAAGTTGACAATGCCATGGCAAGAGTACCAATTGGGAGAGTTTATGTACTGTCAGAAATGGTTAAAAAAACAATAATTTTAGGATAGGAGCAGCGATAAGACGACACAAGCTCCTTGGTTGTCAAACGATTTAGGGGGAGAGGAAGATTGAGAAAAAGCTTCACTGAATGACTAAACAAATAGGTAAGCACAGACAGGACGGTAAAAGGAAATGTGGGGCAAGAATGATGAGAACCATGAAATACAGCTAATCTCCTCCCAAATCTCACAGGACTTCTTACTATTAACTTTAAGCTCCGCCTCACAGAAGGCGCCCAGTTGGACAGTAATTTGCTACACAAGTGGCACCGCGAGAGATTAAAAGCCCAATTAGCATAGCTGCATAAACAAACAAAAAGTTCACACAGTTTTCAATGCAGCTCGGTGAAACGGTTTGTCGTTGTAACACCTGGCCACCTGCAGACTGAAAACAACTGTTTACAAGCATGGATATGCGTCGGTCCATCGGGGTAACCATGGCTTACTACTCCTTCTACTGCCTTCCAGCATATTTTCCACTCTCATATCATCAAGCGTTGGTTGGGTTCAGCTTCATGTGATCCTGACTACAAACAAATGATCAGAGGTACGTAAAAGTGATGAACCGACACCAGGCCAAGCATTACCAGCCGATGTAACTGACGTTCACACGCTCCTGGAGACTTGTAAACACGGACTGTCGGAGCCACCTACCAACGACAGCGTCACGCAATTTCGCAAAACACAGAGCTCTCTCAAAGTCTAGTTTGGACACTACCTCCGTCTCTCTCCATCGCAAGTGTCCGACTGCAAGTTTTAATAAATTCTGGCTTTGTTATGGCATTCAGCTTAAATAAGCATATGCGAACCGTCACCTTGGCAGGTGAACAGAAACGTCCCAAGTTGTTTGCAGTAGAGCCAAGTGAAGTGACTTGTTTTAACCTAAGGACACCTGTTGAATACATGAAGTTGTTCATATGCCTCCACTGTGAAGCATGGCCACGCCAACCCCATCGGATTTAAGTATAGTGACTTTTAGACTGCTTCCCATCTTACTACCGTCCAGTTTATTTTTAGTTCTCATATCGTCCTGTGACCCCACCTTGAACTTTGTCTGCCTTACCGGTCAAATTCGAATTACCTCCACAGTCACAAAACCTCCCGTCACCGAGGATGCAGTGGCAGAACAATCAACAACTGGTTCCAGCCTGTCGATAAATCACTCGAGGACAGGTGCACCAAGTTCGTGAAGGGAGCACCCCATTCCTTATCATGAAGAATGGCATATCCCTGTAGTAAATATCGCTCGAGGTAAGCAAGCTAAGACCCACTTTCAGTGACGTTTACCGTGAATGAGTTGAGGGTGAAATTTGTGGAGGATATTAGGAGAATGAGATTCCACCATTAATTACACCCGAACGGTCTACCCACCTACTGCACAGACCTACGTCTGCTTGCTTTGCGTGTGTGTGCATGTAGTGGATTGCAGACGCAATTACTCAATGTCACTAAAGGCCAAAAAAAGGCACCATTGAGATCCCACTCAATGCGCCTTGAAAGGTATGAAAAACTAACCAGTGAGAAAAAGCGCTCTGCCGAGTTTTATAAGACAAGATAGCGCACGAGACCGCATACTTCACACACCGTTGCGAAAGACCCTGCAGGGCGATGTAGGAAGAGAGCGCGAAGGATACTACCCCCACCCTCATCCTCCCATCCGCAAGCGATGAGTATTACACCTTTTCTTGGCGTTCGACAACCACATGAGAGACAGAATTGATGGTTAGGGAGTAACAGTGGGGTAGAAAAGGAAGGGAAAAGAGGTTGACCTTTTTTTATCCTGCCTTCTAGAGAGATAAATTGGTCATATAAAAGTCGACTTCGCAACACTGTGTTGTGGAGAGTGGAAAGGGGCGACAGGACACAATGAACAGGGCATGACCTTCCCTTTTTGTTCAATAGATCTCATGTAAGTGGTGTGCAGCATGTAAATTGAGGAGCGCGTCAAGTAATGCCTTACTTTTTTCTGTGATGCTAGCAATCATCGCAGGAAAGTGAAAAGGGCTGCCAAAACACAGAAATTAGTGATAGTAAGGCGCAGACCGCTGTGACATCACCAAAAACTGTTGAATAGTAACTTTTGGTCCTAAAAGTACGCTGTGCCAATAAGACTAGACAAGGTTTGACAAAATCGGCTACACAACGGCAGAAGGCAGCTTGACTACTTGCTGGTAAAAAAGGCAACAAGTGGATAAAATGAAGGACAGAAGCAGATCCCAAACATGGGACCGGATGCCAAGCCTGTTGAACTGCCAATTAGCACGACTGTAGGGCAAAAGGCCACATAGTTTGTTTATGACCTTACATTAATATTAGCTGTCAAGCGAAATACTAGTTTGTAGCAACTAGGTCAACAATAGATCGCGTATTTTTCTGTCAGATCCTTCCTGATGCCTGGAAAACAATCTGACGGCCAAAAAAAGGATGCCTGCAGAAGGAGAAGGATTAAGGGCAATTCCGAGTGAGAATGGAGACTTCGTTCCCAGTACTGACAAGAAGTAAAAAGGAATGGTAAGGCATTGGCTACCAGCATCTGAGAGGAGGTTCAACCAGCACAATCCACCCCTGGATGCTTCAGTGGTTCAACGTGACCCCACACCTACGACCAAGAACATTCTGCATTCAACTTTCTGTTTTCAACTCCTCCAACCTGTTTATGAAACTTGGGTTGATGTATAAAGGGAAAAGAACAAAAAACATGCATTTAATGACGCCAAACTAAGACAGGGAGACACAAACCCGGGCCTTTATCAGCAAATATAAAGCGCCGCAAAGGATTGGAGGTGGAAAAAAGCTAACTTGGAGATTGACCATGAACGGGATGAAAGAAATAGACCAGCGGACAAGTTGGGAATGCGGATTTTGCGCTCAACGCTATGCTACCTACCAGGCACAAATTTTTGGCAATCATTCGTAGCCAACTTGCTGGGACGATTGCCATAGGCAGGTTATAAAATGTACCAGTAACAGATGCAATTGCGTAGGCCGCTGGTATGCGAACATCTAAACCGATAAAAATAAGAAAATTGAAAGCACCCCACGGAAACGTTTGCGTGATTTATGAAAGAACTAGGATGGCCCAAGTTATTTCCAGGATAGCTACTTCTCATTAGGGAGGTAAGGGAGAGGATAAACCAATGAAGACCTATCGATATCCACCCTAACCATAGCGGTAGATCGAACATCCAAAGCATCTATCCAGAGGAAATTTGCCGTAGGAGCTGTGGAACCCGCGTCAAGTAATACAAATCGGTAGCTGCGGGCCAAAACTATCAATTTCATACTCTTTCCCAGATTAATAGACAATTTGTGGTAAAAGATAAATGTAGAATGAGTGGCAATCTAAGAGGATAACAATTAACTTTAATTTAAATAAAACCCCAGGCCTGGAGGCTATATCGCAGTCGACCTCGACCTTTTATTTCTTTGACACATAATTACCAGCAGGCGATACGCAAATAGTAGGCAAGATTCAGTACACGAGGCAAAAAAGGAGGCAGATCATGCAGTATCCCACCGAGAGGCAAGGTTAACGCCAAGTGTATCCCCATGGCAACAAAGTGTTACAACGAAGGCTGATGAAATTTGCTGTACCAAAATGGTAGAAAAAAGGGTTTCGTGGAATAGTGAAAGACACGAAAGCGTGTTTGGGGAATGCAATACTTTTTCAAACACCACACGCCCCAATCTCCACGTCATCGGTATGCAACAACAACAGATCGTGGCAGCTATGACTCCTACCCGTTCAGCCCTTCACACACCTAAAAATCGCGGCACTTCTACGCTGAAGTAGTTCGAGCTCTGCATTCGTAAAATATATAGCAAGAACTAATGATTCAAATTTAAATACATTAGGCAGTTCCTAGGTGATGCCTTCCATGGAAGGATAGCTAAGACTGCGGAAGCCATAACGGAGGAGAAGAGAAAAAAAACACTTGTTTATCAACTATTTCGAATGAAAAAGAAAAGGAACAAGGCAGGTTAAAAGGATAAGAAAATGAGGAGAAATGACACACGAACCATAAAAACGCGATACACGGATGCAAATTAATCAATGGAGGGTAAAGTTTGCAAGAAGAGACTATGCGATTTAAGAGTTCGTATCCTCGTACTGACCCTGTTCTTATCCGGCGGGTGAAAGTAGATTCACCCAGAAAGTGTTGTAGCGGCCAAAACAGAAGAGTCATCGTCACAGGGAATGGCGAAGATGGCGTTTAAAGCAAAAGAAAGACTGTAAAAGGCGGAATTATTGCATTTTCGCGAATTCATTCTAGATGCAAGTGACTCGTATAGCCAAGACTACAGACCTCTCTCGCCACCCTTTCTTTAATCCAAAAAGTGCGAATTATAACGTCTTCAGAGGCAAATCGAGGGGAGGAAAAAAACTATGAACACACAAGTGGTAAAATTAGATCACTGCGCGACAGACAATGGCTTCGCTAGAGGAAGTTTCATTTTAATGCCATGTTTAGTAGCCAAGGGGGGAGATCTTGTCCTGCTAGGGCCTGCAGCAACGTGTCTGCTAACTTTTGATTCCCCACAATTAGCTAGTAGGACAGCAAGTTTGAAGGCTAGTAGTTACTCCTTCTCGAAGGAAGTAAGGCAGGTATGTAGTCTACTATCGAAATGGTCGAAGAATGTTACATAACCTTCGAGCAGAAATGAGTCAGTAGCACCTCAACTCTACTGCTTGGTTAGGAGGAGGGAAAAAAATCCCAAAACTACCCTTACATCAGTTGTTAGAATCGCAAGTTCTACGAGGTCGCTACACAGTTATCTATTTTTCACTGATAACAATGGCCCTAAACAAGAAAGCAAAAGCTACCTACAGGGCATGAATTCGACGAACATAAGGCTTAAACTAGAGCACGAAGGAACAGGAACGTGAGACAGTAAATTCATTATGGCCGTCTTCACAGAGCTGATACATACCGCTGTTTTAAACGAGTGTTATAACCTCTCAGTGATGAATAAAGTATAAGCCACAGAGTGAAAAAATGCGCTCAGTGACAAATAGGGCCTGTAAACACCCGAAATACCCCAGTGCTTTGGAAATCTAATTTGGATGAAATGATTCCAAGTGACTTGAAAGTCAGCGCCAAGAGATTAAGGTGGTGAAGCAATAAGTGACAGACAGTCGGAAACAGCTCCAAATAAGAGCGGTAGACACGCCGCAAGGTATGATACCATTTCAAACCAAGGCCTTAACCGCAAACGAATGATCGGAGGTACGTAAAAGTGATGAACTGACACCAGGCCAAGCATTACCGGTCAGTCTAACTAGCGTTTACACTCTCCTGGTGACTTGTAAACACAGGCCGTCGGAGTCACCTACCAATGACAGCAAAACACAGGGCTCTGTCACAGTCTAGTTTGAACAGTAACTCCCTCTCTCCATCGCAAGTGCCCGACCGCGAACTTTAATGAATCTTGGCTTGGTAAGGGTATTCTGTTTAAACAAATATAAGCAAACCGTTAACTTGTCAGGAGAACAGAAGCGTTTCAGGTTGTTTGCGGTAGAGCCAAGTGAAATGACTTGTTTTACCTTGCGGGCTCCTATAGAAGACATGCCGCTGTTCACATGCATGCACTGTGAAGTATGGACACGCATCGGTCTGTTGGGGTTCGGTGGGTTAACCTTTAGCCCGCTTCCCCTCCTACTGCCCTCCAACTTATCTGTAACTAGCGTATCATCACGAGACCTCATGTGATCCCAACTGGAACGTTGTCAGTCGAGTTCAACTTACCCTCACAGATGCAAAAGCCTCCCGTTACAGAGGGTACAGCAGCATACAAAACAAACAAATTAACAAATTGTTTGATTCAACAGTAGGTGCACCAAGTTCGTAAGGGAACGCCCTATTCCTTATCATGAGGAATGGCATTTCCATGTCGTAAATATCACTCGGGGTAAGCGAGCCAAGAACAACATGCAGCAATGCTTACTGCAAGTGGTAAAAAGGTTCGTTTATAACAACATCGGGTGGAAAGGGAAGGCCATGATATCCGCAAAGCAAATGGACGCTGTGCCATAGACAAATAAATGATGACACAACAAGCTTCAAAAGCTCCCATAGGGTAGCTTCCAGGTTTAAAAAAAGTGGTAGTGCATTGCGGACCCTCTACCAATTGACGAGAAATGACTTTGGGTGTGGAATTAAAGGGGAAGTAACATACCATCTACCCGCTCCTGAGTTACTACTTCCCACTGGAAAGACGGAGTTGTTTACTGCAAAATTCTTGCTGAAGGCCAAGGACTAATTAACAATGAATTTTCACCTACTCGACTCCCAGGCGGGTGTGAAAAGAACCTTTTAAAAAACATCATTAATTCATAACTCAGTGAAAAGAATGTTCTTTTCCTAGTCATATTGGACTATCCATGATCTCATACCGAGCCTCAGGATGGGAGGGAGAGAGCCAGAGAGGCACTACCCCACCTTCACCCTCTCCGTACTCCCTTCAGTGCTATTTCTTTAAACAACAAATGATAAGCACCACCGCTTCTTAGCCCTCAACAATAACATATAAGGCAAAATTGACATAGAAAACAAAAGTGAGGTAGAAATACGGGTAACTGGAGCTAGAATATTTTTCCACGGATAGCAAAACGTTGGGAAGGGATTACTGATAATGATGGTGTATACTTTAATACAAAAAAAGACAGATTAGCAAGCTTTTTTGCAGTTGTTGCGCGTCAAACAGTTTTTTAGAAGAATTTGTTACAGATTGCCAAGGTACGCTTGATACTTCCCAAAGTAGTTCCACGTCAGAAGAATTGCGTTCTAATTTATCCCTTCATTTTGCATACTGACAAGGAATGCGACCAGCCCTGTTGCATGGATTAGGTGTGACTTTTGAAACTTTTAAGGGTGCGGTAAGGAAATGCTGATGAGTAATTAAATTTCGCCAACGCATTGCAATTGCCACATTTGGTGGGAATTGCTATGAAACAGATGAAAACCTTTCGTAGCCCTGCCAATTCAGAAGGCTTTGCCACGAAGAGCAAAGCGCTGTGCTCCTGCAACCGCCAACGCCTACTCACAAACAAACGATGCGGAAAAGTGCTTTTCTCGCTACATGTGAGTCTTTGAATCCCGTCAGGCTTTCGTCTTTAGAGGAGATTTAAGAACTGTGAGGGGGAAAGGCACTTGATCCATTCAAAGATTCAGCCTGAATGGCTGTTACAGTAGTCACCCTATCGTTGTTCCAAGTAAACCGCCTCACCAGCACCCACACAATTCAATAACCCAACTGCAAAACTCAACCGCTGTGAATTCACATGATCGAAGGTGGTTTTATTGTGGAAGAAAGACAAGAAGTGGGCTTAAAAAAGGTTTATATAGATCTTCACACACTAGCTACTGGAGAAAAAACTCACAAAATTCAAGGGTACCAAAATTACTGAATAATTAAATAATGTAGGAAGTTTCGCACTTAAAAATGAGAAAACCAAATAGGAAACAAAATATTCTTGATTAATGTAATATCTACAAATTAAAGGACATGAATGCCAACTTACCGGAAGAATCAGCATTTGAGCTGAGACTCATTACACCACCCAGCCTAGCTCCGGTGGGTGAATCACCCCGATCAGTCCGAACGACAGAACCGCTACTCCACAGAGGCATAGAATTTCTGCTCCACTGATTGACTCTATTGTTAGGCATTGCAGTGTTCCAGGTATTGGCGAAGTGACTGTCATCGTTGGTGCCTCCAACACCGACGTTACCAATGATGCGACGAGAGAACTGGTCACTGGTTGGCTGGAGATTGCTAGGAGGATGGGACGGTCCGCCCTGATGTTGCTGTTGGTGGAGAGTGGGGGAGGTCCAGGAATTGTAGTTCATTAGTGTTTCTTCGATACTACCGCTGCCAGCACCAGCATCACTACCACTACAACCACTGCCATCACCACGGAAACACGAACCTGAAGGACCTACAAACAGAACATGTTGCATTGGTTTAGCGGTGATTAACAACCAATTTTGTAGGTGTGTTTTAATCTCGGATACGCCCGGCATCTTTCATCCCTTATGAAAAATGTACCCAATGATTCAAAGGTCTGCACCCGAATGGGCCTTTGGTTACCATTTGCAATCATAGCCCACTGAATCTGCGGTGATTGACTTCTCAATCCTTCTATATTTCTACGGCATGTCTCAACCCCTACAAAGGTGACAGGATCGGCAAATCTAACGGATGCTACGCTGAACCGTCTAGGACGAAAACAAATGTCGTGGCCAGTATTTCACGGATGAAACACGTCTCATACAAAAGATGCGCAATATGGATGGGTAAAACTCGAAGCGCTAAAGTCTGCATTAAGTGAAAATGGGGACGAAGAGGAGGTGACTCCGAGGAGCTACCTTCGACCGTGTATTTTATAAATTGGTTTTGTTTTTGGGCCAATTTTTCCACCAATAGTATATCCATGAAGTGGGGCATCATTCATCTCCAAGGCACACCTGACAACTAAAATTCCTACGAATCGGTTTGCAAGCAAGGCACAAGTTGATACATTAAAGTGCGAAAAAAAAACAATTTGTACGACCAATGCCTATCTTGACCCAGTTTCCTTGGACTAGGTGACCGTTCACTCGAATTATATCGTGATGGCCGAGAAGAAACCAACAAAACGAAACTGGGCCTACGTAAAAGAGGGGCAGTTGCTCCGTCCATGCCCGCCACATGCCACTAGTATCTCAGCCCTTCTGGCACAAGCAATAAAGCCACCACCGGACTGGTGTGAACCGAAATGTCTTTAATATTACTTCAAACTGCATCCCATAGCACACCTCTCGTCTTATTCACTTTACGTGCGTTACTTTCAGCGGAATGCAAGGGAGTCATCTACGTCAGCGCAAAGGTCCAAATCGCTTTGGACGGTGCAAACCCATAAAACATTACGAAGAGTGCAACACCTTTGTTTGACATAGAACACAGCCAAAAAAGTTAAAAAATCATTCCGACAACAAGGTGGTCCAATTAAACTGGAAATATCAAATAGCTAGTCTTTTCTAAAAAATGCTATGCAGTTACGCTGCCAGTGGCACTCAAATGCTAAAAAGCTGTGGTTCTTATGTGATCACAAAGTCCAAAATCCCCCGAATAGTGTTAACCGCGCAAACAAACTGATAGTAAAGTTGACTGAACAAGACGTGTGTGCGTGTGTGTTTATAAGCTTGCGTAAATAAAATGGAGGTGAATTCGATTCCGTTTCGCTGTAGCAGATCCAACACTTATTTCGGCTAGAGGGTGGAGAGGAAATGTGCAGCAGGTAAATAGGAAGTGGAAGAGTGAGCTGATTGATCTCTTCTAACTTAACAGGTTCAGACAAAGGTAAAACCGTTTAATAAAGTCTGCACCATGGAAGTGACAACCCAAACACCTGCTTGGCATAAAATTAGTAATCAAATATTACAGAAAAAGGCATCCAATTGAGATGCAGATATTTTCGAGTGAAGAATTGGAACCTACAATAAAGCAGCAAAGCGATTCACCGATGGAAAGTAAATTTCAGTCGACACGTTCAACAGCTAGCAGAAGCCAGTGTTACGCCGTTCCAGTTAGATGCCAATCTACCCTACTTAAACGTGTCACATGCATAACAACTGAACGCCGTGGGTTGTCAAAAATATGGAACTGCGATAGCGAATAAGCGGAATGACCCATTTTGAAAACAAGTTAATCTTTTCCCAACGCAGGGAGAGCCACAGAAACTAGCATTCATAAATCGCAGGGCAAGATTGTCGAGATAGCGATATGCTCATAAAACCTTCTGATTGCAGGATAACGCCTTAAAATACACTGGATTAGGGAAATAAAGTTGGGAAGGTGCAGTCAATAACTGTAAAAGCAGAAAACCAGTCGAGTAACGACGATCAGCGACAATGCATACACAAGGGGAGAAAGCAACGACTTCTAGTTTCATGAAAGTGACAAGGCGGTGGTAAATTTCAGAGCCAGTAAAAAGCGAAACACAGTAATAGAATTATGCCACATGACCTTTAAACTGCATCGTGATCCCGGTTCAACAACGGTGCCATGAAACTCCGTTCACCTCACCCTTGCCATTGGTTTTCCAAGCGCCTTCGTGTGCGTTAAGGGTAAGGGTACTTTAAAGCGCTGCAACAGTGCCAACAAAGCAATGACTCTGGCGCCTTTAACTGGTTTTTCGGAAGCGTAGAACCAAATAAATTTGCTGGCTACTACCAAAGAAGAGAACCCATAATAAAGCAGACTATCCTAAGTTCCCTGTAGAATCCAGTGGATGAGACGATACAGAAATTAGGCGAGTCAAAATCAGGCGAATAGAAATTAGCCATGAGAAGATCGCTAGGGCTAGTTAAGATCAAGGTGTGAATATCAGTCCTCGAGTAGATGCTTTGCCTCAAAGTACTGGAAAAGAAATTCCATAACGCATTCCTAAAACGAAGCGTGAAAGATAAATACTGGCGCAACACCCAAGGTGCACACACATAATCGTTTCAGCGTAAATTCAACTGTCTGAGCTAACCCTTCCTAATCCTTTTTATACCCATAACAAGCCTCAACTTTTTCAAGAGTCACCACAGGAGTAAAATAATGATAACTAGAGAATACCGAGATGATACGAGACCAATAACATTTAGAAACAAAAAATGGCAAATTGTCAAATCAGAATCCCTTTTGGATAACCATCACATTCAAACCGAATACATCACTCGCGCACATCTGTTTGGCAAATGATACTGGGGCCTAGGAGACCGATTTAACCAGATTGCCAGGGAAACACCGTCACCCACACTAAGAAATCGAGGAAAAAAAGTATTCACATCTACCAGACGAATACCAGCAACAAAAGGGCTTCCAAGTCAAAATTAACTCTCGGCAATTATTCCAATTCCAAGTCCTGCATAGTGAAAGTTGGTCAAGTTCCGGATCCCCAGCCGCTTCAACATTTACGTACCTCACAAACGTCCTCGGAGGTAATTCGAACACTAAAACGGTATCTAGTCAATCCTGAAGTGCCAAAACGTACACGGGGTACATTGGCGCCAGAGCAATAGCAAAATCACTAATCTGTTTCCATCCAGAATGCAGATTCAGTAGCTTTCACCAGACTATTATTTTTAAGAAACGCGAGAAATCAAACGAAAAACCAAGAACCTACCTCGATGAGAAGAGGACTGCTAGTCATACTGACTTAATGTAATGTCATAACGGAGCTAAGTCCACAATGACCAGCCCATAAATATAAAATAATCCTTTAAAAACTCTATAAGTACTTCAAAGGTAGGGCAAAGCCTGAGTGTAAAGACTGGGAATGATGCATCGTTGCAGCAGCTAGTACTAAGAACCGCCTAACTAAATGCATCCTGACGCAAAAAACCACCATGGACTGCATTCTAACGTAAAAAATAAACACAGATATGAAGAATTACGTAAAAAACGAAGAAAGTAACCTATAATAGGATTCTGGTAGAATTCACATAGCTTTTTGCCGAACGTCCCGATCCCGGAATTTGTTTCATGCCCAACAATGGAACAATACCTCTACCGAATTAGTCGAAACAACTCAGAGAGGATTCGTAAAGACAATGGTGGCATGAAGTTCTCCTTGTGGCACCAATTTAGCCGCACCCTCAACCATTTCGCACGCTTCTACTAAAACTACACTCAAGCTCCATTTGAACATAGAACCGGACCTTGTAAAGGGGATATTTCCATTCAACGGTAGCTCAAAAGGGAGCTACAGCCAAACGGATCGATAGTGCCACCATTAAGGATACGAAAGACTCACTTTCAACCGAATTTTTACAGAAGAAATTGGATAAGAAATCAAGTACTCACGTCCGCCGGACGAAGGCTGTGAACCCCACTGTTGTTGAGGTGATGAAAATCCATTAGATTGAAGAGCTGCCGCGGCAGCAGCAGCAGCCAATTGACTCTCCCAGCATCCATTCAGGGACGAGGGGGGTTGAGATCCATTCCATTGATTCGGAGGTGGGGGCTGTGAACTCCGCGTTGGATTACCGTGATGATTTATTATCTGGTTCCAACCGTTCCCACCTCCATTCCCATCAGTGAGAAGGTCCGCCTTGCCATCGCCATTACCGCTATGGCTCCAGTAATTCAAGCCTCCATCTAGAAGCGTGGAAGGAAACAAAAGATCTCTGGATTCTTCTGTTTCTCAACGTTATTCTAGGCAACTAGAGAGCCACTCACAAGGGATACTGTGCTGATGGAAGGAGCCAAAACGCGAGTAACCACGACCTGACCGACTAATTGGGGTATTCAGCATACCAGGAGGCACATAACCAAAGGTCTTTTGAGTATTTGGCGGTTCCATGGGTTTGATTTCAACTTGCTTGCCGTGTAGGTTGACGAAATGCATTTTTATGAGCTTTTTCACCACTTCTTCATCATCGAAACCAACAAAGGCGAAGCCACGATGGCGTGGTCGACCCGGATTTGACAAAAGATTAACGTCGGTCACCTAGACAACAAGTTAGCGGAGAATCAATTCTAACGTACGTTTCCAAAACATTGGAAAAAATTCCGGATGGTCTCCTCGTTATGCTCAAAAGCAATGCCACCAACAAAAATCTTGAGGCTCCTTTTATTCTAAGCGTTCGAACAATAAGATTGGTAAAGTAAAGCCAACCTTTCCACGCATATTTATGTTACATCTTTTGGGATCAACTTCCTTATTGTCAATTACATGAGTTTTTTTTGAAAGCACTTGATCAACAGCAGATGGTTCCCTAAACTTTACGTAGCCGAATCCACGTGAACGTCCCGTTCGGTTGTCCATCATAACGATTGATTCTTCGATATCCCCAAATTTGGAAAAATAATTGTGCAAACCATCTACAGGCAATTATTTACAAAAATTGGCTCACTTGTATTCGTGGACTGATGCAACCCCCCAACAAACAATTTCCTGCAAGAGGAATAAGAAAACGAGAGTTACATACCCGACTTCATTACCATGATCATCCAGAGCCATCAAGAACGAGAGAACCGACGGAACAACGAACCCCCGTGGAGGCGTCAAATTGGTGAGCTCCTCCTATTAACATAGCTAAACAACATATATGTACTTAACATGTTTTTTGGATACCGAAATCTTCCAACATATTTGCGTGTGAAAAATTCAAAGTGTCAAAAGCCAGTAGGTGGAGAAAACACCCAACAAAAAACTTTTATTATCTGAAAATTACTGCGACAAATGTTGGAATACAAATAACTCAGATATTTGTTGGTCCAAATCATCCTTTGTCAAATTTGTGTGAGTGCGTAACTGAAAGTTTGAGCCTGTACTCAACCAAAACCCACGGACGTAATTAGAATATTTTAGATATTCAGTACGAGGACCATAAAATTCATTAAATTCCCAATAT